GTTTTTAAATAACCGGGATCGCTCAGAACGGACTGAGCCAGTTATGTTCTGACTGGTTCTCGGCCGATCACCATCATTCGTGAATGAGAAGGGCACAGGTTGGGACGTACTGTCTCGGCCAATTTCACGCCGTCGTCGAATGCTTGTAGTACGGTGATTACTTAGGCGGTCTGCCTTTTTCTTTATAAGACTTTTACGCCGCATTCCATACCCGGATTACTATGGGAGGCATGGAACGTTCGGGGACATTGGGCCATTTTCGCTCCAGAAATGTCGACACCAGTTATGATGAAGTGGTATGCGTCGAGAGGTCACACGCCACTTGTGAATGTCACTGAAGTAGCTCAGTTTCTGGTTCACGTGGAGGCTTTTACTTTATTTTCCTATTATAACCCATTTTGCCAGTCAACCCTGCCTGTTTGTTTGTACTCGTTAGTTGGTTTAAACCAGTCTTTCACTGGCATGATTGTTTCCTTTTGCAGAGCTGTGTAGAGATGAATTTGCATGATGATTCACCACCGACAAAATTTGACATGTTTCCCGCGTTACCATTGACGAAAGAACAAGTAACTGATTATTGTCAACGGCGCTGGAAGGTGATGCCGGCGTTTCAACAATTGGCTACGTATTTCGGTCCAGACGGTAAGTATTACCGGGACCCATTTGACGGATGCCATGACCATGAAAACTACTACGCTCCACCCCGCCCTACCCATGGAACGATTCCCGAAAAGCGGCCACTCTTTCCATGTAAACCCAACATCCCCAATATCATAAATTGAAACTGGAAAATAATCTAACTGAACTGCTCTCTGCTTGTCGTCGCCAACGGCTTTGTTGATTCAGTCAGAATTAGCCTGCACAACAGCTACGCTTTTCTATCATCCATTCATCCTACCTGCGATTCGATAAATCAGTTATGCAAAACTACGTGGAATAGAAGAGAACCTTTGGTGATTTTGCAAAGATGTATGTAATCTTATAGAGTGAATCATTTTTCTCTACTTTATGCTCTATTTCTGTTGCTCGTCTTGGTTTCATACGGTGCTAACTACGACAATGAAGTGTTGTGTATGAGCACAGATTTGTTAGACTGGATCGGGAAGGTGCTCACGCAGACTGAACTTTAATTAAGCGAAACGGAAGGATAGCGTACTACCGGAAAAATATGCTTTGCTAATTTAAATGCAGTGGAAATATATGTGATAACCGACAAAGAGCACTGAACAGCTGTTTCGTCCTGTTTGGTACTGATGCGAACGTTTTCTGTCCCTGTCAAGACTCGAACCGAGAACCTTCGGGTTGGGACTCGATGTCTTTACACCATCGTATTCAATTGTTTTTGACTGGCGAGAAATTAAGGATCTCTCACGCCCAAGGTTTATAACGGTGTCTGGTGTCTGTGAGAAACCGAATGGGCTGATTCAAATAATTTCCGCCTTAAATGTTTTGCTAATATCAATAACCTTTGATTTCTACCAAATATCACTAATAGATACACACGGATATCATAAACTGCTGTCGAACAGAGATCAGTCCAGTTTTTTACTTTTTCGGTTCGTTCACTGTGTTCTTGACAGCAATAGAAAATAATAAATTTACAATCAGGACACAGAACTTTGGCTAGTTACTGGTTAATTGTGAATAACCGCAGTAATGCAAATTCAAATCTGACTTCAGAGGTGTTGTTTTCTTTTTGATTAAGTATAGAACAACACGGTGAATCAAGCAGCATGCCTGTTTGCAGTAGCCATACATAGTCAATCTCTGGGCATCAACGCGACCAGGCAGGTAGACCCTCAACAGACATAAGAAAGCAGTCAATCGGGGCATGTAAACATTGAACCAATCAAACAACGAATCAATCCGCATGGACAACTCATTACTAACCCCTGATTGGAGGGCGCGGCTCGAAATTTTAATGGAGTAAGTCCGCATGTTGTGCGCGGATGGTAGCAGGCAGCATCGACCAATCAATCGGACCGCAGGTATACATGGCAAACGTATCAGTCAATTTTAAGCCACAACAAGAGGATTGGACGATTAGGAGCATCTCGATAGACGAAGTGAATATCCGTGGAAGACCTCGACTGATTTTGGTATTCTGAGCACTTATCAGGTTCGACGACGTGCTTAGAAGTAATTGTAGTACTCCTCTCATTTATGTCTCCGCATGAGTTTGTTCGGGTAACTGACTCCATTGACATAAATCAGACTGTGACAAAGTACCGAAAATCAGCCTGTTTAAATAGCTATTTGCAGACTGACCTTGGTGTAACGTGCGGCTATTCCGAGTACCATTGATGTCCATGTCTACTCACTTCTACTAGACAGCTGACGTTATCAACTTAGGATAATAAAACCGACATTTATATAGGGTTTTCTCAGTTTATTGGTATGCATTCCTAAAATTTGTTCAGATTTGTTGTCACTTTTGTTCTGTTTCAGTTTGGAAATACACGAGCAACATTATCTTCTCCAATGGAAACTTGGACCCATGGGCTGACGGAGGAGTAAGTGTTCTGGCCCGACCCCATCCTATTCCTTGGTCCCCCCCCCCCAAATAGCATTGAATTTATTACTCTTCCTTTGTGTAATGTTCAGTTGCACTGTATGCATAGCTAGCTTTGCAGCGACCTTGCCAGTTGTTCTCTTGAGTGGTAAAAACTGGGAATCAAATAAACCGGAATTTCCACCGCTGAACTTCTGTAAGAATAGTGATGTTTTTGACGCAAGTGATGGCCAACGACACATATGATCGAGAGTTTCCTACCCCAAGGATTTTGCAGCATCACAAAAAAAATGTATTGGGGCATTCATATGTGAGTGGAGCAAAATGCATAGATGGGAAATTTTGATAACTCGTCTTTTATAAAGAGAGAAATATGAAAGAAAATATAATGCCGATTAAGTTGAAACCTCTGCTCCAGACAGGCCACAGTATTACTTTAATACTGCGGAGCAATAACGAGCTTCTAGTTACATCTGAGTAACCAACCACTCCATCATCCTGCTTTAATACATCCTCCACCCGACGATTCAACCCCGTTAACGGCAGTAGTTAGCCCTCCGGTGTAAGAACGCACGCATCGGAATCCGGAAAGCCATGCACGGTAGTGAAGTCGTCTGTCGTGAGCCACAAACGCACACTGTATCC